AAGCGAAAAAATTTAGCTGTTTGGGTAGCAATAATGCTGGGTGGTCGGTTTATCGGACGGATATCGACTTATCTCAGTGGGATTACGCCGTCATAACATAAAACTCGGGGTCTTTCATGTGACACCCTGCAAAGTTGAGCGAGGCCTGGCTTGGTTCTGAGTCGAGCTTTAAAAACTTATGACAGAATTGTTTTGCAAGAAGTGTGAGCATGCGGGAATCAGTCTTACTTCGAATTGTCCTTGGAGGGAGCATTCTATTTTTCGCTCTAAGGTGAGAACAGTATGTATCTTGATGTCTGTATATGGCACGTTTGGTATGTGTATGATTGCAGTTGGGCATATCTTATCTGTTTGCATCTTGTCTTACCATTGAAATTCTATGGGAAGTGTTCATTGTTCATACGTACATTAGTTTCTATAAAGAATTTAATAATGTTGCTTCCATGTTTGTGTTATATCCTCTGGCAGCTATCAGCTAACAATATATCACAGTATAGCTTAGATCTATAGCGGTAAGTATAGTGTTCTTGGGTGTGAGTTTGGACGATGAAACTTGCGCGTGGACAAATGGCTGCGCTTTAGTGCGCCTAGTTGTGTGTGGAATGCGGGCATCTCACGCGTAGCTGTTCCTCACGCATTTGCCCAGTTTTTGGATCCGAGACTATCACTGTCAGATTTTTTAGCTATAATTTTTTTTTTTACCTTACCTCCAATATTCTGTCCGCATATGAAAATGTAGGGGAAGGTTTCTTGGCCAGTCAGTTGGATGAGATCGACAGATAGCTGTCGTTGCCAGTCTTCATGGCCAGCGAATTCTGGAGTTTGTGGATCAGAAAGGTGGTAGGAAAGCATTTTACTTACCTAAGAAATGTGCTGCCACATCGGCGTAGTTGACCGCTAGTAGGTGTTTGGCTTTTTGACATGGTACGCACTGTATCAACGTGTACATCATGATTGGGAAGCGTCTGGCTTGACGTTCGATGTAGCCTGCAAACTAGCTACAGCATGTTTCACCCCGGAGTAGGCAAAACATTTTACGTGGAGGCAGCGCATCCGCATGGGTAGAGAAACGAACACCTCAATTGGGATTTGCCTCCGCGGGCTGCTGGTCCTTTCGTCCTACTGTTGTG